CCATTCCATTCCGTTCCATTCCATTCCATTCCGTTCCATTCCATTCTATTCCATTCCATTCCATTCTATTTTTTAATGTCTTTATATTTTTTGACTATATTTTTATAATTTCATTTTATGTTGATATATTCCAATAGTAATTTATCATCTTGAGGATGTTCGAAAAAGATATCTTGGTTTTCATAACCCGATAGCCAGGTACAGTCTGAGATCGAATTTAAATTTAAATTTCGTAACGCTGCTGGAAGTAGGAGCCAAAAGAAAACTAGAGCGATGGGGAAACCTTTAAGCCACAGAAAAAGAAGAGAGAGAGAGGAAAAAAAAACAACACACAGAGAAAGAATGGTGATATGTTTATCACCAAAACTCCTCACTCTATTGTGAATTGTCCCATATATTATCATACTAACAACAAAATGAGTTCCTAATTTCAAATTTCGAAAACGCCATTTCATGCACAGTATGTAGTGGTGAGGAGGCAGCGTAATTAATCGAGAGATCGATGTTTTTCTTGCATTAATTAATGTACTTGAAACTTCACTAGAAGCTTCTTCTAACTGAAAGAGGAAATTGTTTTTCACTTCACAAGATTCAATTAACGATTGTATTCTTTGTGAAGGGGAAAGACACGTTAATTCTTTGATTAAAAAGGACAAATAGTTGGCGATTAATAAAGATCAATGAAGTGTTATCATCCTTAAGTGCTTCCGACTAAACACTGGCTCACGTACACCACGTTTAAACATATTTTGTTCCAAGAATATAATAAACCTTCATTTCACAGTGATACGTCCACTTCTCTACAAACCAGTTGCCGAACATTACTCAAGAAATTTGTTGAAATAATGAAGGAAGGACAGCTGATAATTAGATGATTGAGGAGGGGGGCGGAGGGGGGCGGGGGGGAGGTTGGGTGGGTGATTGCGTAATCCTTATCAAATGGCGAGCAAGCACTTTACCTACGAAAAAGTTTCGCGCAACCTTTCCTTTCGGAAACGGGAACTAATATCGAGCATGCAAGCACACACACAAAGAAAAACGAATTGCGTGCAGAAGTTGTTATAATAAAAACGTACAACACATTCCTGTATTCACCCCCTCCCCCCTCAATTATCTAATGGTCCATCCCTAAGGCAGCCAATTAGAATTCAGGATTTGTGCGATTAACGGTTTACTACAGTTCACTAGTTCGCTTGTATGCCTGGATCTACAATTACCGTCACCATGTCAAACATCGATTCTCAAATCCTTTCCTCATTCATTCTTGATCCGTTCGTCCGTTCGTCCGTTCGTCCGTTCGTCCGTTCGTCCGTTCGTCCGTTCGTCCGTTCGTCCATTCATCTCTTACATGCACTATTAACACATGTAAGGTAAGACTTCCTAGATATGCAATCACCAGCTTCAAATAATCGAGATAAAAAGTTCAAAGGCCTTAGCGTCGTCCACACTGAATGGATCCGAGTATAGTAAAGTGTCTAAATATATATTATATTCTTAGAAAGAGTATAGATTTAATAGATATCCTGGAAGTAACTTGTTCTAGGTATCTTAAAAGGGCCTCTCCATTACGCTTCAAAATCCTCTATACTTTAGAAATACATTCATAAAATAAGAGAAAACATTTCCGAAGATTGTGACAATGTCTGCAGTTAATAAAGCGAGTGTATGAGCGAGTGTGATTGAAAAGCGGAAAGAAAGCGGTTCAAGTAGCTAGTATATGATATACTTTATCTACGTGAGGGGCATTCTATCTGATCAGTGATGTTATAAAGTGAGGTAGGACCACTTCAGATCATCGAACGTGTGCCGCTTAATTATTTTAAATTTGGAGTTTCTCGACGTTTCACGAACATGGAGAAATCAATATCGTTTGGCACGATTATTACACAAGTGATAATTTCACCCCCCCCCCTCCCCCCTCTCTAGCTTCCCCCACAAAGTAATCCAATGTACCTCAGTTTAAACCATTCGTACTCTAGGGATAGTAGCAACTAAACAACCGTTTCTTTAAATATAGTCCAGTGATCAATACATAGCTCGTTGATTGACGCGAGGTCCAGACAAGACCTCTTTGCGACTCTAGTACTTCAGTCATTATACACTGACTTCCTGATTATAAAAGAAACCTTTTTTAACTCTTCGCCTTTGTAAATTACGCCTGTTTTCTTGTCAACAGATATAGTCCAATTCTGCCTTATTCGGACCCCTTGCCTGGATCCTTATGACTGGAGGTCTAAGAATGATAAATTAAAAATTAATTCGCAGGAGAACCCTTTTTTCTACTGACCCCCAGAAAGGACTTGGCGAATAAGTCTGTATTTGCATGTGCCATGTTGAATGAACTATATGAAATGTGACTAGGATTCGCAATGAATTAGTTTACAATAACAGCTTCGATCCCCAAGGCCGCGCCGCTATGATTCAAAATATCGGAGGCAACACATTGTCTTTTTTAATAAAGAAAACTCCAAGTCTTCTCATTACTGAGAAGGATTAATTATCTTTGTTTTGTAAGAGTCCGATTCCCACAACCCGTGAATTAACACAAGGCCTTTTCTGGAGCTCACCGCGCAAGGGTTTCTGGGTTTATGGATTCATTTTCAATATATATCAGATGTATACATAGACGCATTTTAAAGTAGCCCTTACAGATGTAGGGTGAGTGAGAGAGAGATAGAAAACTGGAATAACGCATCTAAGATTGAAGAATCCTCAGTAAGGAACCTGACTCAGAGGTAAAATATTCAATAATGTTCGAGAATAGTAATACTGTATACTAGAGAGCAAGGTAGCCAAGCGTTCAGCAGCGCAAAGAATAACTCAATATTTCCTCTTAATGTGCATTATCAAAATACCTTAAGTGGAAGCGAATGAAAGAAATGGGATCAAGAAAAGTAAATAGGATTAAGCGAGGTAAGCTTTTCATGTTAAAAGCGCTCTAATTTTATAAGTTTTGTCGGTGATGATTCAGTTATCAATATAAAAATATAATTCAAAACTCTATCACTTAAAGAGTCATATTTAGAAGTGTCGCAAAAGCTCTGAGAATCTTGGTCGGAACTTCTGCAAATCTCAAAGGTCGTTTAATTTTCTATTTTCTTGTTAGACTACAAGCGAGAAAGTGCTATTTTCGTCGTATTATTGTGACTTTATCTTAGTAGAACTGAAAGCTTATGATAGTGGGAGATTATCAACAGCTGTAACTGGCGAAAGAAATTCACAAAATCGGGCAGCGTAACATTTGATGCTAAACTTAGGTAAGACGTTAAAAATTGTAGGAGAATGTGTGTCAGACGGCTGAATTTGAACTGACATAAGAAGTAAGTTAGGAAATGAGTTGAAGACATTTAGTTCTGGGTAGTTTCGTAGTTTTCTTCCTTCCTTACATGCTTTATTTTTGTCATTTTCTAGTCCTGTTGGAATGGCGTCGAGCTTTAATATTTCCTATATACGTCTTTACCTCTTCATTACTTTACGAACAAACAAGGAAAAAAGAAAAGAAAAATAGCCTCTGATTTCTCGTACATTATAATACTATATGTCTTATATTTTGCGTATTCATTGCCATAATTGAGCCACTAGTGACTATGTTATCTTCAGATCTTGTTTACTTATTCATCTTTAAAACATTTCATGAACGATTCCTGGTAGATTTGAACACTTATTCGGGTATTTTCAACTAAAGCACACGACATATTCAGTAAAATAGCGCTTCCAAATATTGGCCCAATCACTGTTTTTTTCATCCAATCAGAAAATGGTATTATTGAAGAAAGAAACGTAAGCACGACACTCAAATAGCCTCATGCACGCGAACCAATCAAATGCTCAAACAATTTTTTGTTCAATCAATTTGCTTGAATCGTAATAGCTGGTGTGTGTTAGTGTGATTATTCACAACTAACGGCAAGAAAATATGGTCATCAATATTTAGATTATTCATCGCAATTGGCCCCAAAGCCCATCTCTAGAAGAGAAGAGTAGAGAAGAGAAGAGAAGAGAAGAGAAGAGAAGAGAAGAGAAGAGAAGAGAAGAG